CAAATCACCAAAAAGGGCACAATATGGAGGCCCAAGGAAATAGAATGGCAGATGAGGCTGCTAAAGAGTCTGCCTTGCAATCTGAGGCACCCATTTTCCATCTTACCCTGATCATACCCTGAAGTTTCATCTTCAAGAGGAAAAACAATTATCAAACCTGGGGCTTCCAAAACTCCCAAAGGAAAATAGATTTTACTTGATGGTAGAGAAATGCTCACCAAATCAATAATGAAAGAAACAATATCTCATTTACATAAAGGAAGTCATCACATACCCAGCTATGTGTGATATAGTCTTAAGAAAATAGGAATATACACCATAGCTAAACAAGTAACTGAGAGTTCCCTGACCTGTAGAAAGATCAATAAACAAGCTTCAAGAAAACAGCTCCCAGGAGGAAGGAGCCCAGGATTAAGACCATTTCAAAGTGTTCAGGTCGATTATACTGAAGTTGCCCAAGGTAAGGCAACTGAGATATCTCCTGGTTACAGCAGATCATTGACTAACTGGGTGGAGGTGATTCCATTGCCCAGTGCCACTGCCCATAATGTGGCCAAGGTATTATTGGAGTCCATAGTTACAAGATTTGGATTAATAGAAAATACAGACTCAGACAATGGGAGCCACTTCACAGTCACCATCATCAAAGATTTTACTCAAGACTTGGATATGTCTTGGGAATATCATATTCCCTGGCACCCCCCATCCTCTGGAAGGGTAGAAAGAATGAACCAAACCCTAAAGAGACAAATGACCAAATTAATACTACAGACCAAACTTCCATGGACCAAAGTCCTTCCTATAGCATTCCTCCAAATTAGAACAGCCCCTAGGAAGGACACTGGCCTGTCTCCATATGAGATGTTATTTGGGTTACCCTATTTAGGAAGGTCCTCAGATCTCCCCACTATGGAGACAAAGGACCAATTTCTTAAAAACTACAAACTAGGTGTCTCCTCAACTTTACTTTCTCTTAGGCTACAAGGCTTTTTGGCCCCAATTCCGCCTCTTGAATTCCCAGCTCACTCTTACAGACCTGAAGACTGTGTCCTGGTAAAAACATGAGAGGAGAGCAAACTTGAGCCCATCTGGGAAGGACCCTATCAGGTATTATGACTGAGACAGCTCTCCCAACAGCAGAAGGAGGTTGGACCCATTATACCAGAGCCAAAAATTCTCCTGATCCTCGCCAAGAATGATGGATGGCCACTCCACACATGGACCCTATGAAACTGTCTATAAAAAGGCTCTAAGAGCCTGCCTGGTAATCTTAGGTGCAATCTCCTGTGCTCAGCCTGCACTACCTATGTCCAATGAAGATTATAAATGGCTTCTTGCTATCTAAGATAGTATGTACCCTGTAAGTTTGGTTACAAATATAACTAAAGGTCCTGACCCTCAGGTTAGCTGCTTTGATGCCGGTCTAGCCCTATCTTGTGGGGATTTAAGTTATCAAAGGCAATTATCCCAAGAGGATACATATTTATGTCCAAAGGGGAGACCTCTACTAATGGGCTAGGGCCTTATCTGGACTGGGATGATGTTTGGTGGACCATTCAACCTCAGGGGTGGACTGCTGACCCCAGAGCACCTAGCCCTTTGAGGTGCCTAGCATCCTTTAAACCCCAAAATAAGTCTAACTAAAGGTATCCCACCCAAAAACTGCCCACATCTCCAATGTAATCCTCTCTTACTGACCATCCTTAACACAAAGTCAGCTTGGGAGAATCCACAGGTTGCCACCTGTGCTTATGGAACAGGGGTCCTCAATCTCCAGATGTGACCTCATAAGCAGGCTCAAAAACCAAATTGGAGAACCTTCCCAATCGTCCTTTGTATCTTCAGCCTACTTTACCAACCTTACTCCAGAGAAGGATAATGGGGAAAAGTCACTGAACAATCCTGAAAAGGTTTAAGTAACAGTAGAAACTGACTTAAGACAAACCCTAGACATAGAGACTGGATATGGAGAGACAACTGCCTGGATGCAATGGATAAAATATTCTGTATATGCCTTAAATAAGATCAGTTGTTACTCATGCATTATAGGTAGACCAGAGACTCAGGCGGTCTCATTCCCACTAGGATGGACCTCAGACCCTAACATTATGGCAAGCATACTCCTCTATATCAGGAGGATTTGGTTTGGGGAAATGAGTATTACAAGAACTTGTCATTACTGCTTCTAGTAGTAAAAGGTCTTAAGACAGAAAGCCTCTCGAAGCCCCTGACACCAATTACATCTCGTGCCTCTCTAGGTATGGGGAGTCATTGACATTCATGGGTAACCTGACTGGCTGTAATGAATGTTGATTCCTCGATGAGATAAGCAATCAAAATGTATTGGCCAAAGCCTGAGCAGATGTCTGTAGAGGGCCTTTGCTTGAGATTCTCCCAAAAAATTGGAGTGGAACCTGTGCTTTGGTTCAATTGGCTATCTCTTTCACCCTGGCATTTCGACAACCTAGCTAGTCAAAAAGAGGGCTCAAGTTCCAAAATAAAAGAAGGACAGAAGGGATGATTCCAGGAGTGTCATTTGACTTACATAGATGCCATTAAAGTCCCCAAGGGGTCCCTGATGAATTCAAGGCTAGAAATCAAATAGCAGCAGGCTTCAAGTCAGAACTATTTTGGTGGTCCACAGTCAATAAAAATATAGATTGGATCAATTATCTCTATTATAACCAACAGAGATTTGTTAACTACACTAGAGATGCCATCAAGGGAATAGCAGAGCAATTAGATGCCACAAGCCAAATGGCATGGGAAAACAAATTGGCCTATGTGATGTTAGCAGAAAAGGGAGGAGTTTGTGTAATGATAGGAGGTCAATGTTGTACTTTTATCCCCAATGATACCACCCCTGATGGCACCATCACAAAGGCTTTACAGGGATGAACTACTCTTGCCAATGATCTTGCAGAAAACTCCAGAGTAGATGATCCACTTAATAGCTTGATGGAACAATGGTTTGGAAAATGGAATCCATTTTCACATCCCTGATAATTGTGTTAGGAGTAATGACCACAGTAGGGTGCTGTCTCATTCTGTATATGAGAAGGCTCATCCAAAGATTAATTGAGACTGCACTCACCAGACTCCCATCTCTTACCCAGACAATCTCCTCTTATTAGACACAGTTGAACAAGAAAGTTAATTAATGCTAGCTAAGTTTGAAGAAAAGAACTGTAAATAAAAGGGGGAAATTATAAGACTCAGCTTAGGTCAGGTCTTTTCTGTCAAAGAATTCAATCAGTAATAACTGCCTTACTAACTCACTTCCCATATGTTTGCTTCATGGACTTAACATGATAAAAGTTTCTATTAAGACAAAGGGTTGTTACCCTCAGCCAGGCCAGGGCAAGAATTCTGCTAGATGCCCCGGTTCTGTAGCTGATAACCAAAACCAATTATTGCTTCCCTAAACTTTTAAACTTCTTTGTTCCCAAAGCTCCCTCCTAACTTTCTAATTAGTCAACAATGTAGACTATCAGATCAAAACCTGCCCAATCCAGGGACAGGAGAGGGACACTAAAACCCCCATGGACTTCCCACCCAGTGTGATGCCTCCCAGACTTCCTGGTGTGCACCTTTCTGCAGAAGTAAATTTTGCCTTGCCTACTTCTACTACTTCTGAGTAGTGTTGTCTCTCTCGTGATACCCCAATATCTTAAAGATATTTCTAACACTTTCCTAGAGGTGAGCCTAGTAGAGTTTCCTCAAAGGCCATCAGGCCACAGAAGCTCCTCCACCTCCTCCAGCAATCGGTTTCCAGGCTTCTCTCTCTGCCCTGGAAGTCAGCAGCAGCCTCATGTCAGGTGTGGCTGGCCCTGGTCTTCATGTAGTGTCCTGTAACCTCAGAGCCAGTTCTCTGCCCCCTCAAAACCCAAGTAAGAGGACAGTGCATTCGGAGGGCTCCCTCAGAGCCCTGCATGGGTGTCCTGCACCAACTGGAGACAGTACCCTTCATCTAATGAAAAAATGAGGATAATGATGGAAGGTGGGGGGCAGTATAAGAGCCACTGTGAGGCAGCTGGAGCCAATCAAAGGACACCACAGATGGTGCTATCTGTCTTAGAGCCAGACCTGCTTCCAACCTGCGGTGGGTGAACAGCAACAGGATACCTGACCCAATTTTTTTCCTCTGTGGTACTGGGAATTAAACTAGGGCATCAAGCTTGCTAGGCAGGCACTTGAGCTGTACCAGCCCTTTTTGTTTTAGTTTTTCAGATAGGGTCTTGTACTTTTTGCCTGGGGCTTTCCTAGACTGGGATCCTCCTACCTACACCTCCCTGGTAGCTGAGATTACAGCTGTGTCATATCACATCCAGCTTATTTGTTGAGATGGGATCTTAGTAACTTTTTGCCCAGATTGGCCTTGAACTCTGATCCTCCTGATGTCTGTCTCCTGAGTATCTGAGATTATAGGCATGAGTCACTACACCTGGCCTTTTGTTTTGTTTCTGAGATAGAGTCTTGCTAACTTTGCCCAGTCTGGCCTCAAACTCAAGATCCTCCTGCCTCCACCTCTGGAATAGCTGGGGTTACAGCCATGCACCATCCTATAATCAGTGCCCAGCCCTGACCCAAATCTTAACAAAGACACAAAGGTATAGTAAAGGCATGCAGAGGATAATTAAGCTGGGTAGAAGTCTTCATAATTTCTCTCGTAGGGGAGCTGCTGAGAAAAGGGTATTGACAAATTAACTTGAAAACAAGACCATGACCATGACTTGAAAACAGTGGGTGAATTCCTGATGATGTGGGGAAGACTGACTGAGGGAGGACAGGAGTTGGAAAAGTGACCCTCCAAACAGACAAAAATGTAGAGAAATTAAGGTGTCATGGCTTTAGGATTTATGCATCAACAAAGCCCTCCTCTGAGCTCAACATTCTTTGCAGACACCATTAATTAACAGTCCTCATTAGTTCAGATCCATTTTCACATCCATTTTGTTGATGACACATAGACTGTATCCCAAAGAGACATGGTTACCAACCTTGCATCCCAAAACAAGAGTAATCCAGACATCAGAGTACTGTGAAGCACAGAAGTATGTGTTGGTCAGAAGGCAGGACACATCTCTCCCTGTCACCTAGAAGGGACACAGGGTCAGGACTGAGGGTGCCCACCATCAGCAGGATCACACAGCAGACCTGTGAACACCCTGCAGTTCAAGCTCCTTGACAGTACATAATTTCCCCCTCAGTATGCAAAAAGGGGAAAATGTAGGTGATGCCTTAGAACCTAAATGAGACTGACTATGAGAGGGAGACGATAAAGGTGGGTGGACAAGCGGCTTCTGGGTGGCAGCAGGGTGCAGCCCCCAGTCACATGCTTTGCTAGCACAGTGATTTAAAATACAGGTTATTTCACATCATGGGATGTTACTTGTAAACAGCTGAATCCTTATAAAGTGAATCCTGATATAATTCCACTGTATTCCCCAATCCCTTTGAGGCTGGAGACATACAATACTTCTTCTAATTGAACACTGTGCCAGGCACATTAAGTCCTTGTCCTGAATTGTTTCTTTGCATCTTCACAGCCCTAAGAGATAGAAGGTATCATTACCTCCACCTTACCTAACTGGAAAGAGACTTAGATTGAATTACCTCCCCAATGTCACACAACTGGTGAGCTTGGTAGACCTGGGATTTGAATCAGAGTTGGCTGACTCCAAAGACTACCTCAAAATACCTCTGCTACTTCTCTCTGATCAGGGCAAGACAACTTCCGGGAGGTGAAGGTTCTCATTATTGATGATGTGAAAGCTGGTAACTGTCAAGCAGATTCCAGTGTGCTGACCTTCAGGGGACACCCATAAGAAGACCTCCAGGGGCAGAAGGAGCAGTGGAAGGGGCAGCACAGCCTGCAGACAAGGGGCAGGTGCTAATGGCAGCCACAGCTGACTCTCCTTCCTCTTCTTGTTGCAAAGATGGACACTCAGTGGATACTGCTGGGATAATGCCTCTGGTCAGGAATTAGATTCCTTAGGGACTGGACCCTCACCGTCATGCTGACCCCAAGGATCTGAAGGCACTGGATGGGATCAGTCAGCACCCATGTCATCAGCAGGATCACATCAGCCAACACCAGTGCTGCCACCAAACCCAGCAACTGCAGGTCTTTGATAATCTGCAAAAGAGTCAATGTCAAACATCCCCTTGCTTGCTGGCTATATGACATAGGTGCGGGAGTTTCCCACATGCTCTGAGCTACAGGTTCCAGGACAGCTCTCCCAAAGAGCTTCAAATGCAGCCATCAAAGACAAACAATCACCAAACATTTGCAATTACTTCTATGTGGTTTTTCATCATTATTACCATTAAGCATTTCCATTTATTGAACTTTTTCACTTTCTGCCTTTTTCTAACAAGGGATTTAAAGGTTCTTATAAATAACTGCTACTTCTAGATATGTTTCTATGAGCACATAGAAAAATGTGGGGATTTTAGCACCAGTGTAACCATTATCTCAGAAGGTGGGATTGAGAGTCGGGAATGGATACAGAAGGAATTGTTAACATTTTATTTACATGAATGAACTAGTTGATTTAATATGAAGAGAATATATTACTTTTGTGACCATAGGAGTAAAATTAAGAAAAAAATATGACAGGATAAAACACTGAAAAATATCAGGGAAGAGAAAAATAAAAAATATGATAATGGTTCAGGTGAGGAGCTTTGATGAATTGGAGCAGAAATATGGATCTGAGCTTTTGACAACCAGTGAAGGAAAGAAGCACAGCAGTTGTAATGATTCATGGTGTTTGTAAGATAAAACAAATCAGCTGCTTGATTGAGCTGTTCAAAATCAGCAACAAAGAGAAACTCCTCAAAGTAACCAGTGAAAAAAAGACATGCTATAAGTCTTCCTTATACAAAGATAATGAAGATATAAGATTTTTCATCAGATATAAGGCCAAGTGAGAAGACAGTGGAGGGACATCATCAAAGTACTGAAAAAAGAAAAGAAAAGAAAACCTCAGGCTAGAATTCCATATCTTGAAATACATCTTTCAGTGGCTGGATGTAGCTCCATGGTGAAATGGTTGCTTGGTGTGCACAAGGCCCTGAGTACAACCCAATCCAGAGAGGAGAGTGGAGAGGGAGAGAGAGAGGAGAGAGGACAGAGGAGAGTGGAGGAGGGGGGGAGAGAAAGACAGAGAGAGAGAGAGAGAGAGAAAGACAGAGAGAGAGACAGAGAGAGACAGAGAGAGAGAGAGAGAGAAAGAGATTATCTTGCTGAAAGAATTCAGCACTAGTAGAGCTACACTAGAATTTGAGATATTCTTCAGGCAAAAGGAAAATGATATCAGATGAAATGTGGATCTATGTAGGAAATTAAGAGCACTAGAAATGGTAACTGCATAGAAAAATATGAGATTTCTTTTTAATGTTAAATACTTTTAAAAGATAATTGATTAAGCAAACATAATGACAACTGCATATAGGGCTCATAAAATATGTAAAAACAGAACCAATAACACAGAGATGGGTTAGGGAAGAATAGAAGTACACTATTGTATTTATATTATATTATATACTATATACTAATAGTATTAGTATATATATATATACTAATAGTATTTATATTATATGTGAGCCCCTGCTATATAAACTGTTCTAGAAATTGAAGAGAGTAGTTTCCAAATCATTATTTAAGGGCAGCATTACCCAAATGCTAAAATTAGAAAATGATTTTGGAAGAAAAGAAAATGACAAAGCAATATCCACTAAGAGCATAAGCACACAAATTTTAAACAAAAATTTTATAAAAATGAATCCAATAATATACAAAGTGGGTTATATATCATAACCAATTGGAGTTTATCTCAGGAATGCAAGGTTGGTTTAATATCCTAAAGTCATTTGACCTAATCCACCATATGAACAAATTAAAAAAGAAAAGCCATATGATCATTTCAACAGACACAGGAAAAAACTTAACAAACCCAACATTTCTTTATAAAAATTTTCAGAAAAATAAGAACTGGATGAACACCATTTACAATAAAACAACAGCTAACACCCATGCTCAGTAATGAAAGGCTGAACACTTTTTCTGTAAGATCAAGAATGACTCAAGAACATCTGCTCTTACCACCTCTACTCAAGGTTGTACTGTTGTTTCTAGCCAGGGCCATCAGACAACAGATCTTTATTCACAGATGACACGATCACCTGTGTAGAGAATCTGATGGACTATAGAAAAAGCTGCTAGAACTAATATGAAGTTTAGCAGGGTTGCAGCACTCAACATCAACAGATAAACATCAATTGAATTTCTATATACTAGGAAAAACATATTTGAAAGTAAAATTTTAAAAATGCATACAATAGCATAAAAACATGAAAGTTAGGGATAAGAGTGGCAAATTTCATGAAAGAGCTATATTGAAAAATATAAAAAAATGCTGAGACAAATCAAAGAAAACCTTAATAAGTGGAGAAATATACTGCATCTATGGCTCAAAAAGACACAATGTTGTGAAGAAATCAATTCTCTACGATTTTATCTGTGGATTAAACACAATCCCAACCAAAATCACAAAAGAATTTTTGTAAAGATTAACAAACTGATTAAAAATTCACATGGAAATTCAAAGGACCTAGGCTATTCAAACCAACATTGAAAAAGAAGAACATACTGGAGAACTAATATTCCCTGATTTCAATATTTAATAAAAAACTACAGAAATCAAGGTAATTTAGGGTTCCTGTCAAGATAAAATAAACCACAACAGTGAGACATGATGGAGAGTCCAGAAATAGACTAACACAATTATGAACAACTGATTTTCAACAAAGTATAAAATAATTTAGTAAAGAAAGGACAGTCTTTTCAACAAATTGTATAGGAACAATGGAATATCCATATGTAAAATAATGAACTTTGATTAACACATCAAACCATATTTCAAAATTAAGCTGAAATGGATCATAGACCTAAATGTGAAAACTAAAACTCTAAAATTTCTAGATATAAACACAGGAGAAAGTCTTCTGATGTCTTAAGTTAAGCAATTTCTAAGATATAATATTAAAAACATACTCCATAAAGAACAAATTGACAAATCAGAATTAGAAATGTCTTCTCTTTGAAAGACAAGAAAATTAAAGAAAATGAAAAGAAAGGCACAAAGTGGAAAAAAATATTTACAAATCATATATTCGATAAAGGACTTTTGCTTGGGATATGAAAGAACATTTGAAACTCAATAAGCTTCCCAATCCAATCTGATTTTTAAAAATAGATGAAAGATTTGAATAGACATTTTCACTAAAATATAAATATATATATATATATGGGAATCAAAGCAATATGTGAAAAGATACTCAACACTGCAGTAAGGAAATGCAAATTAAAACTACAATGAAATACTACTAGCCATACCTATTAGAATAGCCCAAAGGAAAAAGACTGACTAAATCAAACATTGGCAAGAATGCAGAGAAAATGGACCCTCTATACTATTGTTGGGATGCAGATAGCTACAATCACTTTCAAAAACAGATGGCACTTTCTTAAAAAGTTAAATATACACTATCACACGATGAAACCATACTTTCATCAAAAAGAAATGAAAATATAAGTCTACGCAAAGATGTGTCATGAATGTTCACACCATCTTTATTTTTAATAGCCCCAGAATGGAAACAACCCATACATCCATCGACAGATGAACAGAAAAGCAAATGTATGTCTTACCAGGAGTACTACTCAACAGTAAGAACTACTGCAACACATAAAAACATGGATGAATAATTATAAAATTCATCAAAATAATTATGTGAGTAACATAAGTCAGACAAAATGAGTACATATTGTATGATTTCTCTTATATAAAACTCTGGAAAATGCAAACTAATCTATAATGACAGAAACGAAATCAATGGTGTCCTGAGGACAGGGACAGGGGATGAAAGGACTGGGCAGGAGAGGGGCCTGAGGAAGCTTTGGGGGATGGTAGATATATTCACTGCATCATGTTTCATGGGTGTCTCTACATATGTCAAAACTTATCAAATCATATGCTTTCAATATGTGCATTGTGTGTCAATTATGACTCAAAAAAAGCTATTTTTGAAAAAGGAATCAGTGTTCTAAAGGGATGAACTTTTTGTCCTGCTAGGCAATCTTTTTCATCTGTGTGGTTATCCACAGCTGAACTTTTGATAAACATTCTCCATGATTCAATAATATACGCTAAAAAAAAAAAATCTCATCATCCTAGAGAAGTAGACTCTGATTGAATGATATATTAGGTCTGGGCAGAGCCTCTAGCTAAAAAGGCTGATGGTCAGGCTTTGAGGTCTGGGCAATCATATCAGAGAGTCAGGTAAAATGGAAGAAGGTGATTACACTGAGGCCTGATGTCAGGGACAAATAGGCGATGTGGCTGATATGTGGCTTCCAGGGTTGATTCTGTCTGCTGAAGAATGTCCTCTTCTTGCTACTGCTCTAGCTATGTCGTCCTCAGTACAGAGAACTGCTTGCTGCAGAGAAAAAGAATGGGGCTCTGCGGAGGGAAATCACTTGGCTTTCTTGCCAAAACTTTCTTGTAACCACTCTCTCTCCCTCCACTTCCAGTTCACATCTGTGCCAAGCACCAGTCTCTCTGAGAATCTTACTCTCCCTTCCACTATTGCCAGGTATTAGCCAGCACACAGGATCCCCCAGGACCTGGGGGTACACATGAAGTAGACTCATGTTCAAAGACCTGCCTCCCAGCAGTACCAAGTGACAGCCTGCCAGGCCCTGTGCAAATGAGGCCACATGACTGCTAGGTTTGAATGAGACCCAGTGATATGTATCAGATTCTCTAGCTTTTGATCCACTGTGGAGCTTCCGTCTGCAATCCAGCATGGTGTACTGGCTGCCTACTCACCACTCTCTTGTCAGGAACCCTCTGGGTAAACACCTTGTAGAGTCGCCAGCTCTTCCCCAGAATGGGGCCAAACACAAGGGAGGTCCCAATGCACAGCATGGACAGTCTTATCTACAGGTGGAAGGGGACAGAAGCAAAAAGTCATGTACTCAGATCTGCGAAACCTCAGGCCCACAGAGGCATGGGGTAGAAGGTGGGTCTCACTGAGTAGTCTTTTCCTTTTGGTGCCCCCACCAAGGATACAGGGAACCACCACTCACAGGAGCAGCTGGTGAAAAAAGTATTAAAACTTTAATGTTATATTCAAAACAAAATTTCAAAAAATCACCTACCTGAATGAGAGTTTCCATGGAGCACCCCACTACTACATCCTGAATCCCAAACAGGTAAGCACTACTGTAAGTCAGACAGCTGCCCAGTAAGGTCACGATATTCAGATTGGGGCTAGACATCTTCACAATCCTAGATGGGAATAGGAAGAAAGAAAGAGCCATAATCCTTTCACTACGGTTAGAGATTTTCAAGATCAAAGCTTCCTCCCCACCATAAGCTCCACTGTAGCCCCAGAGTGAGGGCCACTGGGAGGAAACCATTTTACTGCCCTCTGAATGAATACTTAGATGTTACATTTATTTTCAAAAAGAACTACATTCTGGCCCTTCTTGCTTGTATAACTCTTAAGTCTTTTAAAAGAAGGCTGTCAACCTATACACAGGTGTCGTCAGCGAGTTGGGATGTTCTTCATAACGTTTAGGGTTGCTAAGGGATTGTCACAGGCAGTAAATACATCACTAGCAGGTAGATACCCAGAGAGAGAGCCTGGATCTTTCAGAAATGAGCTATTTGGAGAGGGTTTTGGAATTTTTTGTATACACTGTTTATTGGATCTGTAAACTTTTTCTTTCTCTATTTGATCAAGAAAGAGGAAGCAGAAATCAAAAGCAGGAAACTAGGGCAGGGTCTTTTCATAGAGTAGTGTGAAATGAGGTTAGAGGGATATGTGGACAATCCCTGGGGACCAGCAGAAATTCAGGATATGAATTGGTTCATCTAAGGGGGAAGCCAGGGTATTGGACAGTGACTGATGACTACCGAACAAAAGTAACAAGTAACAAAAAGGAATGTAATTATATTTAAGCACTGTAGTATAGATAGTGTGTTCAACATAAGTGTAATATTAATACTAATAATTATTTGATAGTTACTAGTTATACTTTCATTTTTAAATAATGGAGGAGTAAAGCATTCATTTCTCAATTACCCAGCCAAGCATCTTAGAGACCAAGGCCAAGGCCAAAGCATCTATTTAACATGGTGCAGTTTGCACATGTCATAACCACCACGGGGCCACTTTGGTTACCCTGTGGCTGGCATTAATAATACATCTATACACACAGGAATACCAAACTACCAACCAAAGACTCAGGCCCCCACTACTGCTGCCATAGACCAACGAATCCAGTTGAGTTTAACCTTGTCTTTAAGCAAAAACATTGATTTTGTTGTTGTTGTTGTTTAAAAGTGAGAACAACTGTCATGTATACTCTTTATGAAATGAGGATAACAATAATTCTTTCCCTCTAAGAACTGTGAGAATTTAATGAAGAATATGGCAGAGCGCTTGGCATAGGGCCAGGCACACAGTAGTCATGTCACTAACACTAAGGGCCAGAATTATAATTTTGCTTTACCGCTTGAGCCACTCTGCCACCCACATTTTGGAAACCTAGGAATCACCTTTTCCTTCTATTTTCTTTTTTTTTTAATTACCTTTATCCTATCATTCACCAAGTTTTTCTCCTTCTTGTTCCAAAGCCTTTCTCTGAGTTTTCCCTCACTCTCATTTCCTGCTGTCACATTTATCCAGGATACAACCAGGCTAGGAGCACTGAAACTGGAGTCAGGTCTGTCAGGTCAGAATATGTGCTCTGCCACTCACAGCCATGTGACTTTGAGTCTGTCGTGGACTATCATAGGCCTTCTGTTTCCTCACCTATAAAATGAAGACACTGTCTCATTTCGTATCCACTGGATAGGCTATTGTGAGGATTGAGTGAGATGTGGGCCAAAGGTCTCTGCAAACTCTAAGGGGATGCAAGCACATCGATTTTCAGATTTTTGGTACAACCTTCAGCTCTTTGTAACACCAATTTATTTTTCTGCTCTAATACAGCCTGCACATTACTTTCAGATCTATTTTCTCAAGATGACACATTTAGCACTTTTCAAAAGAGTCTCATGAATAAAGAACATTCTTCTATAGTTTACCTTACGTGTCCTATATTCGAGTAGAAGATCTAACCCTATCCTACCATCCCAACTATTCATTCAGGTCTGCATCCTCTGTCACCATATCTTCACATTGTGGACTTATGGAGGGTGATTTTTCTTAGTTTCTTTGCCTCTCCACGTAAAAAGGGGGAATATGTGGTAAATATTAGCTACATAAATAAGAATGATGTTGACCAGCAGCTCCACAAGAAAAGTCCTACATTAGAGGGACCAGAATTGACTCTGACTTAGATCACAGGGCATTGCTGACCTGGGCTGGCAGAACTTGGGCAGTGGTAATGAAAAGTGGGTGGTTCCTGCAAGACAAATACCTGAAGCCACTCTTCCCACAGCCGCTCATATGCTCCTGCACATAAGCCATGAATATCTGATGGCAACCTCGTCACCAAATACCTGCCTGGTGTCACAGCTGTGTTTAGATCACTGATGGGTAGGCTGGTTGCTCACTTCTCTGAGCCCATTTAATTTGAACATCACAATCCAGTCTCCTTTGTGTGATTCAGTACTATATGAGATCCTGATTTAGAATTTGTCTCCTTTCTGATTTAGTTAAGAGGAATTCAATTTAGTTAGTTTTGATGAAACAGACATTACATAGTCTTCATATCTCAGCCGTTGGTGCAAATTCACTGTTTGACTAGACATGCTGTGGACTTACATATGTATATTCTGGTATTTTTTCCTGAGCAATTTTATTGAAATCTTGCCTCAGAAAAGAAAAAAAATGAATAGATGATTTCCCTATTTTGTTTGGCAGAGTGAACACCTGCAAAGCCACTTAAAGGTGAATTATCTACAATTCAGTAGGTGAATTATGGTGTCTGAGAAATATCTTTGCTACTTTGGTAAGTATTCAACCACTGATGTCATTTATATTTTCTTGTTGAACTAAGATGAAGTCTACATAGCTGAGCATTTTAATTTAGCCACAAACAAATATTTTCCGCACAGCCAGAAGATAAATATTACATACTTAATTACAAATAGCGACATCTACATGACTTGTGATCCATTTATGAAGAGTTAATAAAGTCTAAAATTAGGTGACTGGCAGGCTGAAACAAAGTAGAATTTAAAAAAAAAAGATTATATAACGATTTCATTATTATTTTCCCTTCATTTGTTGACTGGAAATGTGAGGCAAGAACTTTCTTGATTTTTCTATTCTCAAGTAGGCCTCAATGTCTATAGGTAAATTTTCATCTGCCCCTGCAGAACTTGTATAATCCTGAGTTATCATTTCAATAATCTTTAATGAATTCTGATGCTTAAGTGACATCTACTAGCTCACAGGTATGATGTTTTAAAATTCTTTATAAATTATTGGTTTTTTGAACTTGGAGACTTATTATATTTAGAGTTATTGAGTCTGAAACAATTTCCAAAATGCTACATGATTTGATGTAAATGGTGTCATTGAGCTGTAACACCACAAAACCAAATGTAAAGTTCTCTTGTAAAATAATTAAGATTTAAATTGTGGTACTTTATTGAATTTCTCTTTCAATTCACTGTTTTGATCAATGTGACAATGGAATTATAAATCTATTTCATGCAAAGCTCCAAACAGCTTTATCATGTTATCTGACACATTCCCACAAATAAGACCTTTGTTGCTCCTCTGCCTATTTCTAATCTCTGAGTCTAATCCAAACCTAATTCAAATTCTGCACACCTCAAACTAATGTTAGTGTGACCTCTAACCATTTACATGTAAACCATGAGTCACAAGGGCTGGTATGTATTTTCCTGTCCTGTCTGGGCCTCTGTTTTAGAGGACCATTCCAGGAGATCTCATTAACCTTTCAATCTTCAGAGTTCTTACTTCTTTAATCATAAAAACAGCACTTTATTCTACTTCAGAAGTCATACCAGGTTACACCCTGGGTCTTATGATCATTTGAAATAGTTCTACTTAAGGAACTTTAAATATTAATAAGCTGCTTTTTTGCTACAACCAATCCTAAATTAGCTCCTGTCTTCTTCTTCAACCTATTTCTCCCATATTCTTCCCCAGTTCAGATCATGGGAACTCGTCTTTCCATTTTCTTTGACCAAAAACCTTGGAGCCATTCTTGACTCTTGCTCACATCCCACATTCAATATGTCATGAAATCTTGTTGGTTCTGTTTTTAAAATACATCCAGAACTCAACTATTTCTCATCACCTCTGCTGCCACCACCTGATCAAAGTCTTACTTTGCAATAGCCTCCTAATTGGTCTCTCTGCTTTCACCCTGCAACTTCCCTAAAGTCTATTTTCAACATAGCAGGCTGTGATGCATTAAAGACAAATCAGATCATGTTATTTCTCTGTTCAAAACCCAAATGGATTTCATTTTCCCTGGGAAAGCTGCTTCTACCAGGGTTTTCAAAAGCTCAATCACTTGGTCCCCATTATCTCTTTACCTCATCTCCTACATCTTCCCTTTGCCCACTCTCCTCCAGTCACAGGGTCCTCCTTGCTGTTCTTGAAAACAGCAGACACTCAAACACTGAAGGCATTCATGTGCTGTGTTTCCTGCCTGGATATTTCCATCCACATATCTGCATGTCTCATTCCCTTTTCCCTGCATATCCTGCTCAAATATTACCTTATCAACCAGGGTTATGATGACATCCCCATTTTAAATTATGACTTTCTCACAGATTCCAAACCCTTCTTATCCTGCTCTATTCCCTTCCTCTCCATTTCTTCACAGTACATTTTACTTCTTAGTATAATATATAATTTATTTGTTATTATTGTTATTGTTTGCAGTCTTCTCCCAATTAGAATTGCTCATAATGAACTCCCAACACTAAACCCCCATGTGGACATTGAATGCATTTTTTTGCTAAACACTTGATGAATGGACCTGGTGAAATCTAAGGTCCCTTCCAGCTCGTCCCTTCTCAAGTTATTCCAGAGGCAAGTTCTTCCCTCTACTGCTGGATTATTAATAACCCAGTCATATGCATGTCTGCCTCTCTTCCTTAACCAGGAACAGGCTGATGTGGTTATCAGAAATGTTGTAGAATTTACATTCCAATCAACCAACCAATCAATCATCATCCAAATAAAATATTTAGGTATTAAGTACAAAAGAAACTGCAAAATATCCTGCCTTCACATTCCCTTTTAACCAATGACCTCAGTGTCCCCATGCCTTACTACTTACTATCTTGTT